GATGATATGCTGATGAAGTCAAACATCGAGTGGTCAAATGGAGCAACTACATGGAAAACTTTAAAATCCAAACTCTTATTTTGAAGTTTGCAGATAGTTTCCTGTTCTGCGTGCTTTCGTTTCCCGTCATAAATTGAATCTGTCATGTACCCAGAACGCATTGCTTCAGTTTTCCAATAAACAGTTTTAAAATTAATTTATTGATGCTTCTTTAATGAAAAATCTACAACAAACAAAAGAAAAGGACAAAGAAGCAGCCGAACTAGCAATCCTCAAAAACTTTTTAATTTTTACGCCAGGAACCAAAGGTCTGTTTCAGGAAATCACATCCCCAGGAATCGGCGCTTGTAGGATTAAGCTGTACAAGAGTTCATACACCGCTAGTTGGCAGTGTTGTGCATATTGTACATGAATTATTGTCAGCTAGTAAGAGTCAAATTGATCTTGCGCTTTAAATTAGCTTCTGCTAGTTTTTCTATGGCATAAGTGCTTTTGAGATTGCGGACCTCAATATTTTCATTAACGCTTTAGAAATTGCGGAGCTAATTTTTGGATTAGCGCTGCCCACCACTGGCTACCACTATGCYGTGTCTACTGTCTAGTATTGATACCAAAATCATGCTCAGAGCTCCACATGTCTTGAAGATGAAATTATGGACAAAACATCCATCTCAGATCATTTAATCAGCTCTGATCAAAAACTACTTCTGAATCCTCCACTTTTCTGCAGTTTTTRACATTTCCCACAACATCCCAAAGCTTTTCAGATCAGGGACTGTAAAGTTTTACTCCTCCAGACTTCAGAATTAGTTGACGACCATGCTGCTGACATCCATGTTGCCTAGCAACAACAACAACAGAAATCCAAGGCTCAGAAACATATTCTTTAAGTTATCCTTTACATAATGCCTGCAGAGTTCATTTAAACGCAACCAAACAGACCAAGGACATAATCAGTATGAGGRGTATTTTAAGTGTCAGTAGGTAGCTGCAGTGAAGGACTCAGAAAAACTAGAATGTCACAGTTGCAAAGATAAGACATTAAAACTTAGAGAAGAGAGGTCTTTGAACAAAATTCCTTTTTGTTAAGCTCCACTTCCAGCTGAAAGCTGCCACTCATCCTTAACTCTGACTACAAATTATGCATCCGGTATGAAATGCAGATGAAATAACTGGAAGTGCTAATGTTCAGCAGAGAAATCCATCATATTCTAAATGTTCAAAATGCTGAGGTAACGTGTGTATATATGTGTGTGGGTGTGAACACTGTGCTTGTTAGCCACACCACATTTGGATTCCACTGGCTGCCTCCGCCCACAGGACAGCTTACAGCTTATTAGAAGCTAATCATGCTTGGAAAAGCTATCGATCTCTCTGACCACTTCTATATAGACACATGCAGGCTGAATGCAGCTGTGGTCCTGTAACTGAGAACATCTGAACAGAAACCTATTCACATCTTTTCTCCATTTCACATGAAATTATTACTTTACATCCTAATGAAAAGAATTACATTTTTTTGTTAAATTGATACGGGTAAATGGTTCACCTTTGTAGCCCCTTTAAACATATTTTTTCCTTCTCCAAACCATTTTACCARGTTCACAGTTTTATAACAACCCAGACTACACCTACATGCACAGCAATAATCTGACAAGAACAAGATTATCAGCCAATTGTGAAAACAGTACTCTCTCTGAAGAGTTTCTGATCATTTAATCAACATAAGATCAAATTCAGAAAATTAAATTAAATGCCTGGAATTCCTTGAATGAATGCARATTATGTAACAGTGGTAAAGATCATTTTATAAAGAGACGGGGTTTAGTTGGAGCCCATGTGTCAAACATGCGCCATTATTTATTTCACATTTAGTRAGTCATACACATAGTACTTTTCATTGTTTATACGATGATATGTTAATATGCTGTTTCTATGCACAAAAAATAAARAGCTACTCTGGTTTCTTGTTTAGTTGAAGTTAAACACAAAACATTGAAGTAAATTATAACTGTAATGCTCATAGGGCACTGAGTGAAAACAAGTTCGACACCTCTGAGTCAGAGCCATTTTGGTCAAACCTTGTAAATGATATGAAAAACATYACATCTGAAAGTGCTCAGAGAATGTGTTGAACATAACTTTCTGCTTCAACCATTTCAGTCAATATCTGTCAATTTGACAGGTTTACTGTATAGTTTGTGTTAAGCTTGATTAGTTGTGGGTCCAAATGTTAATCAGACACTTGGAGTGTGTGCTGTTAATGACTCAGCTACTTTCAAACTAGATTTTAGGACAAAAGTTGTGAAATTTAGTGAGTTGTAATTTTTATGTTTACTAATACAAGCTTTCTTTCCTGTCCCTCAACCAGCCGGTCGAGGCAGATGGTCTCCTGTCCTGAGCCTGGTTCTGCTGGAGGTTTCTTCGTGATCAGCAGGGAGTTTTTCCTCTCCACTGTTTGCTCAGGATAGGAGACTGTGATGAAGTGATTCAACACAATCTGCTGGTTTCTTCTTTAGATTGTTCTTTTTATGTACAGTGCCCTGAGACAARGTAAGTTGTGGCTTGGCGCTAGCTATATAAATAAACTTGAACTTGAACTTGAACTTAATATCAAGATTAAAGGTAATGTCAAACGTGAGCAATCAGGAAGGAACAGACAGGAGCCAAGATACGGTAAGTGGTATTTATTTTCAGCATCTCTGTAAGGGGATTCCAAATCTGAAGAAGTAAAGAAGCAGGCACGTGAGACCCAGGTAGGTATTGTCGTGATGATGATGATCGGTAATGTTTTTGACAGGTAAGTTATGCTTACTGTTTCCAGGAGGAGGCAACGGCACAGAGGAGAGGGTAAGTATCCAAATGTGAGTGGTAGTGTTTTGGTTTGTGTGCCAGTTTCATACAGTCTGAACAGATTAAGATGACTGCATGTCAAAGCAAAAAGACTTATTTTGTGGAAATGGGTCTAAATTCATGTTTTTGTGTTTTATTCTACGCTGTCCTCATTAGATGTTACCTTTGTTCCAACCTGCAGCAGGAACTGGGCCTAGCTGCATCCTGCTAATCAGAAACAGACACTTCAGGGTTTTTGTGAATAAAGATCCACCTAAGTACCAACCAAGATAAGAAGTGTTTCAAATGATCTAAAGTGAACCTTTATTATCTTCTTTGGCAAAAACTGGACAATCCTTTATGAAAGAGATGGGATTATAATCTCCCACAATTCGTTGCGGCAGTATCTTCTTGCTTGTGCAGTTTTACAAATTGTGAAAAATGCAAATAGATTTGAGAAAAGTATTGTGAACATGAAAAACCTATGAAAACATGTTTCAGTTTGATGGCTCTTTCATCACTCCATATAGAAGTAATATTTGAGTTTATTTTTCATTAATGTGTGGCACTTTTAAACTTAGAACATGAAGAAAAGGGTGGAAGTATTCATCTGTGATAGGCTATTGGTTAGCCAAACAAGAGTGTTTAATATACATTTTCAGGTTTATGAAAGAACTCTTGCTCAAAAACATACAGTACCAGTGTGAAAAAAGCTAGCCAATGGGCCTCATGCAAGAACATGTTCATATTCTTATCCTAAATTTCTCTTACTTWTGTTCGTGTGAAGGGTGAACCATTTTTATTATTTAAGAGCAGATCGAATCAAATCACATCGAATCGTGATTTATCGATTCAGAACCCTATAAATTGAAATTGAACTGATTTAGAGAATTGGCCACGGTACCCAGCACTACTTACTATATGTTTAGGTTTACCAGGTCTGTCCAACAGCCTCTCTCCCCACCAGTTGAGGATCAGTCGARAGCTCTGTCCCTTGCTTCACCAAGAAGTTCAAGACAAACGGCTGCAGGTTTGATGACACTATGGTAGCCTAGTAATAAAAGCTACTTATGGACAACCCTATGGTGGCTATTATGGACAGTCACAGCACAGTCCAACAACAGAACACCATTCTGCTTCAGTGAAAGTTTTAGAAATTAAGTGTTCATCTTCAAGACTCATCCATCCACTGACCTCCTGAGGTTCTCTAGTTGTTCCATGCCCTGATGCCACAGCTGAACACTTGCTGCTAATCAGGTGACTACATAAAAGCTGCATTCATCATGCCATGCCCCTCCCCTCTGAGCACTGCTGACTTGTTGTGGATATTTACTGAATGTAAAGCCGTGTCAAACTGAAGTCCTTGTAGTGAGAAAACTGAGCTAATTTGTGTTTAATACTTGGTTTGTAAACATTTTGCATAATTAAACTATTATTGTTCTGGAAGCACTAGAGGGGTTCTCTGCTGTTTTAAGTCTCAACCATTAAATAAAACCAGGGAGGTTAGGCAGTGTGGTTTTCTTTTTAATTAGATTAGTGCTGTTTTCATTTCCATCAACAGGTGGTTTTGTGTTTGTTGTTTTGGTCTTTGAGACCTTACTTTTTTTCCTTCTTTGGGTCTGTTTTTCTTTTTGTTTTAGTACCAATGAATCTAACATGATTTTTTGGGTTTGTCAGATGAAACCAGTGTACCTGGAAAAAACCCACCTGTGCACAAGGAGAACAAGTAAACTCCACAAAGAGGCATTTTGCTATAAGAATGACAGAACTGTTTTGCTGTGCTGTTAATTTTTTAAATCACTTACTTTTCAATAAATCATTTTTGTTCCATAAAAATATTTGGACAGTACTTTGAGTCGAGGTTCTTGGTTAGTTTTTACATCTTGTGATGCACCTTGTAAAACTTTAGATGAAATAATTGGAAGGGTTGGAAATTAAGTGGGAACTCATCTGGAGTTAGAACACAGGCCGTCTCGCACCACAAGCACAAACAAACAGACTGAGCTCTCTCACAAGAGAACCCTTACAGGTCAGWAGACATAAGAGAGTGAACCCAATCCAAGATGGCCACCACAGCTAATCCACCTTAGTTTTTACAAAAAATGTCTAAACCTGAGTGAACCTGAGTCATTCACAACACATTCTCCAAGAGCAAACAGATCAAGTGAGACCAAAACAGCTCCAACTCTCCTTTCTCAACAGAGAATATTAGTCTAAAACTCTGGCATTAAAGARGGAGGATGACATCCATTCCTTCAAAGGATGCTAGGCTTTTATTTTAAAACTATTTTGTCTGCATCAATTATCCAAAGCCTATAAATATGAGAAGTGTGGCTCAGATTTTAAAAACACCAGTTTGGCTAGAAGTTAAAAGTCAGATACTTCTTCTCTCTTCCTTTGAAATGGGGTGTATTTGGATTCACTGTTAATATAGAAACCTATTAGAGCTGCTTTGACCTTTCACTACATCACCCTGAACTTTTGTCTTTCCTGTAATCAGTTAATTGAATCTTTACCCTGAAGGAAAAACCTGAGGCAAAATGTGGAACCGATGACTCGGTTCTGGAGCAGCTTCTCTGCAGGGCTGAAAACACAAATAACACAAGATGGATTCCAGCTGAGACAGAATCCTGGGGGCAAACAGAGAGAGGGAAAACACAGCAGGAGGAAGAGAAATGCATTGCTACATACCACGTTGATGCCTCCAGAGTTTTCCAGACTGCACATCCCCTCCAGCGGTGCCATCCCGATGGTTGTTCCCTTGAATATTACACCACTATCACACAAATACACAGAGGGGAAAAATAATCACTTGACTTTAATCTCTTTTCTTTCCACCTTTGGGTGCCACAGCACATGCACACTGATGGCAGATGCTAAAACACCACAGCAGCAGACTTGATGAGCCTGTCAGATCTGAGAGTGGGGGGAGGTGCAGGCCAACTCAATCCACCATGTGGTCTCCAGTCAGCTGCCAGTTTGCATCCAAAAACAGAATCAGGCTCTGTTTGATGGCAAAGCGGCATACCTAGCCTCGCAGCAAGAAGGGTGCCGGATCGAATCTGAGTACTTTCTGGGTAGAGTTTGCATTTTCTCTCCATTCATGCGAGTTTTTTTTCTCTGAGTACTCTGGCTTCCTCCCACTGACCAAAAACATGACTGTTAGGTTAACTAGTAACTCTAAATTGTCCCTAGGTGTGAGTGAGAGACTGGATGGTTGTTTGTCTTGTTTGTCTCTATGTGTCCCTGCGATGGACTGGAGACCTGTCCAGGGTGTAACCCGCACCAGTGACCCTGAAAGGAAGAATCTGCTAAAATATGGATGGATACATAGGCTACAATATACAGTAGGTCCGATCAGCTTTTAGTGTGTATCAATAGTTCCCAAAGTGGGGGACAAAACTGGGGCGAGAAATTTTCTTATAAACCAAACGGGGTCCTGGCAGAAACAGTTTGGGAACTGATGTTTCTATTCCCTGATGACACAAAGCTGACAATGCCAGAAATCCTTGGGCTCAAAGTGTGGGTCAGGGAGCACGAATCACACAGACTGGCCAGCACAGAGTCCAGACCCCACTGAGAATCGTTGGGATGTGCTGGAAAAATCTTTTCATATTGGTCTGAATCTCCCATCATCAATGAAAAATTAAAACTCTGGACAGAAATAAACAAGACATTGCAAAAGCTTTTGGAAATGATGCTACAAAGAACCAGTGCTGTAATCAAAGATAAAGGTGGTCCAACAGCATAGTAGAGTGAGACCTTTTTTTTTTCCATTTTTTATTTTTTGGCTGGGCAAATAATTACAGCAACCCAAGATCACAGCAATTAGTTAAATCCAGATGGTGACTTTTTTTTGGCCAGGCAGTATAATATCACCTGTGGCACAAAAAACTGATAAGAAATCAAACCAAATCAAAAAGAAAGAAATTAAGAAGTCCCTCTGGACGGGTTCTTCTTTAATGAAACATTTAGTCTCTCCTCCAAGAGACTTCTTCAGTCTGAGGAGTTTCAGGTGAACTCAGCCTTATAAGCACGTTTCATTAAAGAAGAACCCGTCCAGAGGACCTACTTTTTTTTGTTTTTGATTTTTTCTACCTGGATTACTGAAATGCATCAGGACACCCTACAGGTACTTCTCATTATGCTGTGATCCACCAGGTCAATACTGTGTTGGTGATGACTGGAGCCACATTCGGCCTGCACAAAGTGGTTTGGACCCCGATTATACAAGGATTATTACAGCTCTAGTTATACTCAGTTCTACTTTATGTTTAGTTTTGGTAAACACATTTGAAACTATTACCAGATCAAACAACCAATGTTGACATTCAGTAACAGACAGAGAACATGATGAGTGCACCCTGCCTGTTTTTATTTTCAGCACTTAAAGCACTCTGTTGACTCACATTAGTTCAGGAAGAATGACCAAGGTTTCACCTTTATAATGGTTTTATTTCTAAACTTTATGAGCTGAGAATATATATCTCACTTTATTAAAGAATGACTCACATATTAATGGTTTAAGAGCTATGGAGATCATAATTTGAAGTCTTAAATTTAAAGTTTTAAAAGCCTCAGTAGTCAGAGGGTCTGATTTCTCGCATACAATCCCAATTATGGGCTGTCTGCCTCACTGTGCTACAGCAAACTGACTAGAAGCAAGACGCAGTTGATTCAGGCAGCTGTCATATAGTTTTTATCATGTCACAGTATTTTTTTTTCCTCTTGGTCAAATGTGTTTCCTCCGGCTGTAAAAGTACATCCCAGAGGAAGAAAACCCAGCAGGCAGGAAGCTATCCCTCTGTTTCATCTGTGAGTTTTTCTTGGTAAATTGATGTCTCACTTGGCCTGAATTCCACACGTTTCCTTAAAACTCTTTACACAATGTGCCACACTCTTCCTCACACATCACATTCTAGATATAATACTACAAAACAATCAACAACTCTTTTGTATTGCACTTTGCAAGTATAAAAGTTTAAACAAGTTGAGCCTGAATCAATACTCTAATCTCAGTAACAAGCCAGATTTTTATTATTAAGGGCACCTACATAAGCACTGAAGACTATATGTTAATTTTTTTTTGTCCTGAATGTTGTGATGCAACTTTGAAAGTCAATTATATACCAACAAACAGTACATATGCTGCTCTGTTGTGAACATGTACTAGGACTTTTGGTAGCAGAACATCACAAAGTGTAGACAAAATTCACAAAACCTGCAAAAAAAAAAAAAAAACTCAGGCAGACTTCACTATAGAAACATCATTTAGTTTAAAATGGTCATAAAAAGTTGGACTTTAAGTAAACTGACATTTTGAAGCTTCTTAGTTTTTGCACTATTGCAAATTAAGTTTGCTGAGTTTTACACAATTTTTTGCAGAAGTTCAGCTTGAAATTTTCACACAGCAACTGTTTGAGGCTTACTTTTCAGTCTACTTTTCTAACTGTCTATTAAATTGGCAATCAAGGAGAGACACAAGTGGCAGCAGCGCCACTTTTTCTTTTTAATCTTAATTCCTTTTTTATAGAGTTCACACGTCAAAATATGGTCTTTATATATACACACATATATATATACTGTATATATATATATACATATATATATATAATTTTTTTAATTATACATGTTGCGACAGGTATACGACATATACGACAGGCGGATTGGCGCAGCGTCTGCTGTAAAGCGGGCGCTGTACCGGTCCGTCGTGGTGAAGAGAGAGCTGAGTCAGAAAGCGAAGCTCTCGATTTACCGGTCGATCTACGTTCCTACCCTCATCTATGGTCATGAGCTTTGGGTCATGACCGAAAGAACGAGGTCCCGGATACAAGCGGCCGAAATGGGTTTCCTCCGCAGGGTGGCTGGGCTCTCCCTTAGAGATAGGGTGAGAAGCTCGGTCATCCGGGAGGGACTCAGAGTAGAGCCGCTGCTCCTCCACGTCGAGAGGAGCCAGTTGAGGTGGCTCGGGCATCTGGTAAGGATGCCTCCTGGACGCCTCCCTGGTGAGGTATTCCGGGCACGTCCCACCGGGAGGAGGCCCCGAGGAAGACCCAGGACACGCTGGAGGGACTATGTCTCTCGGCTGGCCTGGGAACGCCTTGGAGTTCCCCCGGAGGAGCTGGAAGAAGTGGCTGGGGAGAGGGAGGTCTGGGCCTCCCTTCTGAAGCTGCTGCCCCCGCGACCCGACCCCGGATAGGCGGAAGAAAATGGATGGATGGATGGATGGATACATGTTGCATATTCAGATTAATTTATTGTCATTCACACACAAGATGCACTGCAGAACGAAATTACAGTTTAGAACATCCGTCCGGAGAAAGACACACATAACAAACATAACAAATATGGGGAACGAATGTCCAGGGTCTTTCGCACTACGGTGCGCTACCTTTTGCAGCTTGGAACACACACACAATAGGAAGGGTGAGTTAAAGGAGACATATCATGCTAAATGCACTTTTTTTGCCTTTATAAACTATTTTTTGTGCAGTTATAGTGTCTAGGAGTGTAGAAAACATTAATTTATTCTGTTCTGTTACTGCAAAGATATTTTATATATTTTTATGGGTCATATTTTTCAGTTTGTTCAAAATCTGCTGTTGCTTATTACGTTTCATTGCTTATTTCGTCACACTATTTTCCTAGGAACTACCATATATGGTCATGTATTTCCTGCCAACTGGATTTCATAGTCCGCCAGTTTTTTCCTCGCTGTGAGATTTTGTAGTCCATAGCGTCATGCCGACTATGCAAGTCCAGAAGTCAAAATGTTCGGTTCTGGGTGTGTAAACCCACATTATTATCTACATAGACTACCAGCYTCAGAGCTTCTTCAAAGTGCCTGGTTAAGTTTTATTTTTCAAGGAAATGGACCCACAGCAGGATGGAAAGTGCTTGCAGAAAACACAGGAGGAATGTTACAAAAAGGGTGAGTTATGAACTGTAAATGTGTTTTAACTGTCTAATTTATCTGTTTCTACCCTCTGTGTCAGAATATGAGTGGAGAAAAACAGCTGTTTAAGTGTCTTTACCGAACTCAGCACCTTTTTACTTTCACTTTTGCCCCACGCACTGTAATCAGCGTGTCCGTGTTTTTCTTTTTAAAAATGCTGGAGCAGGGTGAGTTATGAACTGTAAATGTGTTTTAACTGTCTAATTTAGCTGTTTCTACCCTCTGTGTCAGAATATGAGGGGTGAAAGAACAGCTGTGTTTAAGTTTGTTTACCTAATGGGCGCTCAGCACCGTGTTACTTTCATTTCGCCCCACACTGTAATCAGCGTGTCTGCTTGTTTTTAAATGCTGGAGCYTTTCAAACTGTGATCTYAAGTTAACGTCAGCTGWTTTAAATGTATTTTTTGCCTGGTGTTAAAAACGGGAGCAGGAGAATGAGGCAGAGAAGCTGTGAGTGCTGTGTGTGATAAGTCCTCATAAGTATAGCAAGATGGATGTGTGCCTCTCCTTTTTTTCTCTGTGTTGCTGTTTTTGCATCAAAAAAGCTGGGAACATAGTCATTTTATGTAACAAAATATATTAATCTTATTAATATACAAATAAAATCAGAATATTTAGCACTAGAAAAAATAAGTAATGAATTTATTTATTTTTATTTTTTAAGAAAGGACTGAAAGAAGAAATCCTGTGTGGCAGCACTTTATACAGCCTCATCAGACCAGGCTTAGTTAATAAATGTTTATTTTTTTAGTTTGTTTTGTTTTAAATTAAGACTTATGTAACATTTGTTATCATTCTTATTTTTATCATGTTAATGGAGG